ATGGCCATTTCCTGAACGAGTAGCCCCCACAAGTCCATTTCACAAGAAAGGAACAGAAGAGGGTCACCTTCCACACAAACAATCCAGCATCGAGGAAGAGAGGGGTACGCCAGGGCCGACCACACGGTCCGCCAGACTCCAGTGCAAGCCAGACGGCCGAGGCAAGCAGAAAGGTTTAGGGAGAAGGTGGCGTGGAAACAGGTGCTGAACCACTGTCCTGGGGTACCTGTTCCGTGTGCATTCCAGAAGGAGAAGCCATCGCTGTCTAGGCAAGGCCCCAAAGCCAGGCTGCACCCCAGGAAGCGCCAGCCTATGTGTGCTCGGACCCCAAAGCACAAAGGAGACTAAGGCCAATCCTGAGGACCCTGAGGGCCAAGACCGAATGGTGCGACTTCCCAGAGACAGGGAAGGCAGCACACCTGCACCCCCTTAAGCAGGGCAGCGATGGGGCCGAGCAGTCCTGCGGGCAGCCTATTTCCAGAGCTGCATGAGCCGTGTCAGGTTCGGGAAGGCCGGCAGTGGAGGCAGGCAAGAAGGCTGTTGCAAAGCCCCAGCATGAGGCAACAGGGGCCTCGTTTAGGGTGGCGGCTGGGCAACCAGAAGGGCGTGGTAACAGGATGTGGGGGTCCGGAGAGAAGAATTCAAGGCCAACTCCCAAAGTCTGGAGACTCGGTGACCTGACTCTCAACCTCGAATTCATCATCAGATGCTCTAAAACTTTTCCCAGAACCAGAAGAATACTCTTATCAGAGGGCTACCGAGCCGAGCACACTTCAGTGCCCGTGTCTCAGCCCTGGGTCCACTCATGTCCCCTATTATCCACTTAATATCTCTTAAAATATCATACCATTAGCCTTAAGTACCTTTTTAGGCATGTCAAGCCCAGCCTTCCATAACGCTTAGATCGAGGCTGGTCATGTTTTCTTCCCAGTCCACGTTAGGACAGAATCCCCGCAGGACCGCGTTCTGGTCCTCAGTCGATCACTTCCTCCCGTGCAAGGCTCGGCCGTCACGGGAAGCCCACGGACCGAACATCCACATGCCCAGTTCCCTGCGCGGCACTTTACAAGTGCTTCGTGCCTCCACCATCACCATTACCTCGCGGGATAGGACTGACCTCCTTTCCGAGGGTGCAGGAAAACTGAGGCACCAGAGCTTAAGCAATGTGTCTGAGGTCACACAACAATTAAATGGCAAAGTCCACACTCAAACTCAGGCCTGGCCGGAAGCCTGTGCTCAGGCCACCGCACTGCCCACCACGAGGGGCTGGAACTCAGGGGCCCCTTTCTCCTGTTCCACCAAACCGGGTACAAAAAAATATATAAACCAAGGAGGAAAGTACTCACTTTCTTCCCACATTTGCTGTTATCGATCTTTTACTTGTTCCCAGATCATCAAGATCAGCAGCCTGAGAAAATCAGGAGGGCCGATGCCGGTGGGGAGGAGGCACTTCTGATCCCATAAAACCTGCCAGGCTCAGAGTCAGACATTTCCACGTTTGGCCTAATTTTTCTCTATATTTCTTCTGGGTTCTTTAAGTTGATTTTCATTTTGTAGCTTCGCAGTTCTTTTACCAACCAAGGCTAATGCGAGGGAAAACTACCATTTCCCATGACTTTTGTCTTGTTACAGTGCTATCTGAAAAGGCAACTTGCATTGTAGATAGAAGAAAATGTGCACATTTGGTTTATCTGGGTGTGTGTGTGCAAGGAAAACTCCCTTTCCACTCCCAAACCTGCCTTAGTGCAAGAGTAACTCGAAACTCCACCTCCCCAAGCAAGTCTGAAAGAAAAAGAAATCCACCAGGGCTGCGCCCCCCACCCCAAAAAAAACCACAGAAGTCAATGATCAATCAATTTTTTGCAAAAACTGCAGATGACTCGTCGATTTGTTCCCAGCTTGGTGTCCCGATGGCAGTGGTCTGAGTGCTGTACACAAGTCAAACAGAACTGTCTGCCCCCGTTAGTCTCAGAGATCACACTCTGCAACAGAGACTGCTCACGGGGGCAGAGAAACCAGGGAATAAACAGCAGGGTATTTACGTTTGTGCTGGCCGTCTATGGGGCAGAAGCAAGGGCCTTGGGGAAACTTCCTGTTGACCGGACAAGGCATAACACAGAGCAGATCATCACCTGTCCAAGCACTCCGGGGGCAGAGGCCTGTGCGAGTCACCCCTTCCTCAGCAGCCCCCGCCCACATGGCCTCTGAGTTAGACAATGAATAAACTGCTAAGCAAATTCCTTCCTGGCCAGACCTAATAACGCCACTGTGGGTGCCTCCCCCCTTGAAACGCGTGTGATCAACTGCTTCGGGCCTTCCAGGAGGCATGTGGTGCGACCCCAGCGACCTGCCGGCATGTCCCCCATCTCTGCCCTCTACCCTACTGAACTTTCCCAACTGCTCAGGGCCAAGTCATTTTTAAAATAACGACTCCTGAGCATTATTACTCTCCAGCGGATATGCAAGGACCGCGCAGAGTTCCGTCACAAGCAAATGCAATCCCAATAAAGTGGAGCGAGAAAGAGAGCAAACGAACACTGACCTGTTGATAGTAAAGACCAACCAACCAAACCAGTCTCCCAAGCTCCTTCGAAACCTCCCTGCCCAGGAAGGGCGAGTAAGATGCTCCCCATTGACAAAGCGTTCCCTTCCTCTCGCTGATCAGAACCCTGACAGCTACCAGCTGCCTACTCTACTGGACTCAGGTCAAAGGCACTAAGCACGTTCAAGGCACTCTCACAACCTTGTGCCTGAAGCCAGCTGGAGATGAGAGTCACTAAATCCCACCCTGCTGGCTTTTTAGTAGAAAGCGTTCTTTCAGTCTTCCTGATCCTACACTACACTATCTACACCCAGCATCACATTTTAAGGAGTGGGATGGCTAATATAGGCTGAGATAAAATGCCGAAGACGCAGGCAGATTTCTAAACCACACACCTGGGGGTGCTCACAAGGAGTTGACAATCCCAAGAGAGGAGGTACCTTCCGGATAATGAATCTGGGACAGAGGCCCACTCAAAAGAAACAAGTTTCTTAAGTTTAAGGTATCAGCCTTAATAACCACAACCTTCGCCATCCAATTTTGAGATTCCAGTGAATTCACAGAGTAACGATTTTAGGGGTGACCTTTCCAAGGCAAACTTTGATATGAAAATAAAACTCCCTGAGAAAAGGAAGTAGTCCGGGAAGGACGCGTGGATTCCTGAAAATTCTCCCACCACTCTCCAATCTTACAGAAAAGTCCTTGGAACTCAGGGCCTGATTATTTCCCCAAAGACATCGTTCTGTATCATAAATAGGCCCTTTGGTGATGTCTATCTTTATTGCTTCTCACTGGTATTTAAAAACACTTGACGAGTGGTAAGACGACATATACGGGAAATCAGTATGCTAGCACTGTTGGGATTTTTGGCTTCATGGAGTACTATCCCCCCCCCCCAAAAAAGGGGAGGGGACCGAAGTGCAACCCTTTTTGTTATGTGGCATAAAAGGAATACCCAAAATTGTCTCAGCGACACTTTCCTGCAGCTAGCTGGTTTAACCACACGTGCCAAAAGCTTCGTGAAGCTACCCCCTTGCTGAGGCTAAAGGAAATACGTAGGCCGGTCCTTGGCGTGGACTGTGCTCTCCTGTCCCCCATGACTGCCCATTGTTAAGGGCCCCTGGGAAGTGCTCTCTGCAGGCATTTCCACAGCCTTGCCTTTTGCAATCTGGCAAGCCATTTTTTTCAGTGAACATCCAATTACGGGCAGTAAGTTATTCACTGGGGACTACCAGCCATGGGTAAGTGTTCCCACCAACCAGGGTGGCATGCAGCGCCCCACACATGTGGCCACCCCACAGGACAAACGCGGGGCTTTGCCTCAGCTTCCTGAGCAAGGTTCCATTCATTTACGCAATCCGAGACGGCCAGCTAAAAGCAAAATAAGAACGTTCGGTGCTCCGTTCATTCAGGTACCCCTTCTTGGCTCCTGACGCTCTGACCCCTTCAAGGCAGGTTAAGAAAGCTGCCTTTTCAGACTACTTTGACTTTGCCCTTTGAAGTACTTGGGGCCACGAGAACTTAAGAGATGCCTTCCAATGGCCAACTCGGTCCAGCTCTGTAAGCCAAAGGCTCCTGACATCAAACCTTTACGACCAAGACCCCGTATCTCGAAGTACCTGGGGGAAACCGCTGCCAGAAGGGCGGAAAATTAAGTTCCTCCTGAAGTCGGGTTTGGTTCGGCTGTAGGTAGCCATGTGCGGCGGGGCCGTGGCGCGGCTGCAAACACACACCTGGCCGGATGCTGGCTGCACCGCACACAGTCAGGTAACCAAACTCTCCCCACCCCCACCCGCCGCCCAAACAGGTAAGTAGAAACGAAGAACGCCCGCCTCAGAACTCGGGGCCGGTCCAAAGGCGGAGACCATGTGCCTCCCTCGCAGGTGTTCCAAAATGAAGCCCGGCGCTAGGAAGGGCCGACTTGGCGCGATCCCGGGGAGCGCCTCGCAGCCCCGGTGGGCGCTCCGGGGGAGCGCACGCGAGCAGGTGCGGGCGCTCCCAGAGCTCGCCGGCCGGAACCGGGCCGGGCGAGGCGGGCCCCCGGAGCCCGGCTCCCGACCCTTTGGCCGCCAGCAGCCCGGAGCACGCCTGCGTCCCTCGGGCGGCCGGGGCGCCCGCATTCACAAGCCCGGGCCCCGGGCGCTTTGTGCCAGGAGGCGCCCCGGACAATGAGCCGGGCAGGGGGCCGCCGGCCGCCCCCCGCGCGCACGGGCCCGGCATGACGGTGCAGCCTCGCCCGGCCCGGCCAGGCCCAGGCCCGCGGCCGCCGGGGCCTGCTTAAAGATGGCGAGCCCCTCGCGTGGCTCCCGCGGCTCCCCCCCGGCCACAATGGAAGGCGGCCCCCGGCCCCGCCGCGGCCGGCCCGCGGGCCTCACCTTCCATCTCCATGTCCTCGGGCTCGCTCAGCTGCTGCTCGCCCGCTTTCTGCTGCTGCTGCTGCTGCTGCTGCTGGTGGTTCATGTCGGCCGCGGCCTGGGCCTCGCCTGCGGCCGGGAGCCCGGGCTGCGGGCCCGGCGGGCGGGCGGCGGCGGCGGCGGCGAGCCGGGGCGGCGGCGGCGGCGGCGGCGGCGGGGCGGCCTCCTCCTCCTCCTCCCGCGCGTCGTCGGCGGCGGCGGCGGCCCCGGGGCGGCCCGCGGCGGGCGGCGGCGGCGGCGGCGGCGGCGGCAGGGAGACGCGCACGTACTTGCTCGCGATTCGCCCAATCTCGGCGCCGAGGCGGGCGGGCGGCCGGCGGGCCGGGCCGGGCGGCCTCGTCGCTCGCTGCGGCCGCCGCCGCCGCCGCCGCCGCGGGGCCCGCCTCCCGCCGCCGGAGCCGGGGCCGGGGCTGCGGGGCCGCGGGCCGGCCGGGGGCGGAGGGCGGCCGGGCGGGGGCCGCGGAGTCAGCCCCGCCTCGGGCCGGGCGCGGCGGGCGGGAGGCCTGGCCGGCCGCGGCGGGCCTCCGGAGCCTGGAGCCGGCGGGAGCGGCGGCGGCGCGGGCGGGCGACTGGCCGGCCGCGCTCGGGGCGCTGCGGCCTCCGCCTCCTCGGCGTCGTCGTCGGGGCTCCGGCAGCGGACGCGGCGCCCGGCGGCTCGGCTCGGCTCGCTCTCAAAATGGCGGCGGCGTGAAATGTCACATCCGCATGGGGGGCCCGAGAGCGAGCGAGCGAGAGAGCGGAGAGCGGGCGGGAGGCGCAGGGAGCGGGCGGGCGGGCGCCGAGCAGGAGGGCGGAGCGGGAGCAGGAGGGCGGAGCAGAGGGGGCGGAGCAGGGAGCGGCCCGCCCGCCGCCGCCGCCGCCGCCGCCGCCTCGGCCCGCCCGCCGGGCTCCGGCTCCCGCTCCGGCCGCACCGCGGCCCGCGTGTCCCCCACGTCCCCAGCGCCAGCCGGCCCTGGCCCGGGTGCCTGCCCCTGAGTCCCGGGGCGCGCCGGTGCGGTCCCCACGGCTCCCCGACCCTGAGGGGTGAGAGCCCGGAGCCCGGCCCAGCGCGGGGGCCTGCCCCCACCCCCACCCCCACCCCCAAGACCCTGGGGCCCTCGGCCGAGCCGTGTGACCTTGGGCGTGTAGCTGACCGGGCTGCTTAAAACAGGGCCCGGGACAGAGCCGGGGGCGACGCGAACCACCAGTGCCTGTGGTCAGTAGTAGTAGTAGCAGTAGTAGTAGTAGTAGTAGTAGTAGTAGTAGGATTACCCCCCACCCTTAACCGAGCTGTCGTATACGCACCCGTACCCTACGTGGGAGAACTTCCCTTCTCACTGTAGGCAAACCAGGAAAGTCTGGCCCCTCAGAAACTGACCCAAAGAGCCCTTCATTTGGCATTAACCCGTTCGCCTCACATCAGCCCAGACTGGTGAGTAGCGTCTCGGCCTTTCTACGGTAACCGAGACAGCGCAGGTGAACAGTAGTCAAAAAGGACATCCATCTGTACACATCTGTCCCCATCTAAGTGACCGTCTCAAGGGAGAATATAATTTTGCCCTAAAATGGCCAGGAAATTGTGATTCCCGCCCCACTTTCCAGCTCCCTGTCTCCTTTCCCTGCATTTTTCTCCAGTTTTCTCCAGTTTAGTTGTGGTCCTAAAAGAACGTTTTGTTCTCTGTGGTGTCCCACGTGTGTGGGACATTGCAAGGACTCAATAAATATTTGTTAAATGGATGCATGATTCACATGTGACTCCCCCCCCCCCAAGCATTTCATATACTCCAAGGTTTCCCACCAGCGGAATTTCTCGCTAGACCAAGGAAGGCAGCAAATGAGAAGGAAGGAGTGACTTCAGCAAGAATCGGTCCCAGTCCCTGGGTCTCCCCCCACCCCATCCCCAAGAGGTGTTGTTATTCACACAAATTCTCACAAATGCTAATGATTCGTTCTCAGATGCAAAGGAATCCTCCCCTCCAGCTCTCCACAGCCTTGGGGGAGGGCAGAAAGGACCTGGGGGGAGGGGGCAGGGGGGATGGCAGAGAGCTATGCACAGTGCCTACCTGGTTCCACACCACCCAACCTTATCTTTAGGGCCGGGTTCACAACCAACCTGGGAAATAAATGAGGAGTAAATGGCGAATAAACGTCGTATACCCACCCCCATGAAATACTAGTTGGCAATTAAAAAGAATGAGGCACTGAAATGCGCTGCCACGTGGATACACCTTAAAAACACTGCGCTGAGTGAAAGAAGCCAGACACAGAAGACCACAGAGTGGATGATTCCCGTTACATGACACGTCCAGAGCAGGCAAATCAATCTATAGAGACAGAAGGTAGATTAGGGACCGAGGGGTTCCGGCTTTGAGCAGTGATGGCTCCTGGGCGAGGGGGTTCTTTTGGGAGGTTCTGAAAATATCCTAAAATTTGATTGTGCTAATGGTGCGAATACGCTAAAAACTACTGAATTGTACACTCTAAGTGGGTGAATTGTATGATAACACAAATCATATGGCGGTAAAACTAAAAAAAAATTTTTAAGGAACACCAGAATGGAGGCTGATCACAGTCTAGAGGAGAGATGGAGATGAGCTGGACAGGTCTAGTGGACCCGGAGAGAAAGAGAAAAGAACAGGTGAACTTGTGTGGACAGGTTGAACTGGCTGGACTGGCTGATAGGCTGCAATTGGCTGGGAGGGGAAGGGATGTTGTTTTAAGCCTCTGAGTTTGTGGTCATGTATGATACGCTAATAAACATGAATGCATACAAATAATATCTGCCTCGCCAGTCCCAGAAGCATCTCGAAGGGAAGAAACTTCACAGCTGTATCCTCCGCACCTAGCCCGGTGCCTGGTACATAGTAGATGCTTGATAAAGACTGACTGAATGGTATCACCTCAGCTCTTGTTTACTAATTGCCAGGACCAAGGGTTTGTCTGGGATACAAAAGACTGCCTACTTGCTTTAAAGGCTTTTTGTCCGGATTCAATTCCTGAACTTCTTTGCTCTTTCCCGCCTTGCCCTTACCTTTCACCTAGGAGTAGCAACGGTGGGGGGCGGGGGTGGGCTCACTTCTGGGCCGCCTCAGCTGCTCATAAAAGCCATACGAGTGCCCTGTGAGGCCTGCGAAGGCCCAGACTCAGTTGCTCCAGGGCCGCTGCTAGCCTGTTTGCGTCTAGGCCTGGTGGAAGCATGTCTGCATTAGCTGTAAAGCCCATTTGCTCACAGAAGGGGCGTGGAGAGCAGACTGCAGAAGACACCACTCGGCTGAGTGATGCCTGCTTCCCGGGAGGTTGAATGCCAAGATGCCTCCGAGGGACCTAGAGCAGCAAAGGGCAATGTGACTTATGAGGGCGCCATTTCTAATCATTGCCAGTTTTCATTTCCCACCCCCCTCCATACCCTGGTTCGGAAACCGGGGACCTAAGAAAGACGACAAACCGGGAGACAGGAACTGCTGGAGCAGCTGACTTGTCACTAGGTAGAGTCAGAAGGTGCAGGGCAGGGCCGTCCTATCATTACTCTCGGAGCAAAACATATTTTTGCTCCTCCCAGGGCCAGAGCCATGACTTGGCATAAACAGCCGGTTGGTTTTTCTTCTTACCAACTGAAATATTTATCTACCTGGCAGCTACGTGGGCCAGGGTCTAAAATGATTTGATGGAAGTGTCAGAGGGGGGAAAAAAAGGGATTAACAGGAGCTTTTAATTTTTCAGGATCACTAAATTCTTAGATGATCCTGTCTGGAAAGATGATATAACCCCATAGCCACAGGGTTAGTGAGGAGGGTCTGAGCTTAAAAGGGATAAGGCCGGGGACGCCTGGGTGGCTCAGTCGGCTGAGAGTTGAGGTTGAGGGTTGAGCGGTTGAGTGTAGGACTTCGGCCCAGGTCATGATCTCGCAGATCGTGAGTTTGAGCCCCACGTCAAATTCTGTGTCTCTAACTCTCTCCCTCTCTCTGCCCCTCCCCAGGTTGTGCTCTGTCTCTCTCTCTCTCTGAAAAATAAAATAAAAATGGGCGCCTGGGTGGCTTAGTCGGTTAAGCGTCCGACTTTCGCTTAGGTCATGATCTCGCGGTTCGTGGGTTCGAGCCCCGCGTCAGGCTCTGTGCTGACTGCCAGCTCAGAGCCTGGAGCCTATTTCAGAGTCTGTGTCTCCCTCTCTCTCTGACCCTCCCCTGCTCACGCTGTCTCTCTCTCTCTCTCTCTCTCCTAGAAATAAATAAAAATATTTAATAAAATAAAATAAAAACATTAAAAAAGAGAGAGAGAAAGCCAAGGTCCTAAAGCTAGGAGGCATTTGGGAGGGTGAGGGGCTTTAGAGAGTCAGAATCAAATGACCTAGGTTCCACAGGAGAGGTTCTGCAAAGTTGAACTTGGGAAGCTAGATGCCTTGACCTCTTTGAACTCAGCGTTCTTACCAGGGAGATAAGGAAGACAGTTTCTACCTAAAGGGGCCTTTGGAAATCAAACGAAATAAGAAAACCTTACTTAAACACTTCATGGTCCAAAGGTGGCGAGAGAGTTATTAGAAGGGCAAGGGCAGACATGAGACCCCAGCCCCCCCGTTCTCCACCCAGCTTTCACTCCAAACTGGATAGGCTGACTACCTACTGTGTGCCCGAGACTGGGCTGCCTAAAACAGTCAGGTGACCAAGGCTTCCCTGGGCCGAGGCAAAATGTTAATAATGCAAGCTCTTTGCTAGAGTGAGTGCTGATAACAAGCTGGGCACGTGTGCATGTAGATTTTAGGGTCTTGTTTTTATTTTTTGAAAAAGAGCTCCCACAGATGTTTTGGCTTCAGTATGACAGGCTGACTCCAAACAACGCCCCAGTGATAAGAGGCGGTGAGAGCCTGAGCAAACATCGGTTCTTTCTTTTCCTTTTCTTAAATTTGTATTTCATTGGTTCATCTGTCTGTAGGAAAATTAATCAAACTGTTAACTTCTCCTGTTGGTCAGACTCTCTTAAAAGGGTAAGAATATGGAATAAAGAGACATTTTCAAATAGGTGACCTGGGGGGAGAAAAAACAAACTCAGTTAAAGAATACTTACTGGGGCACTTGGGTGGCTCAGAATTTTAAGCATCCGACTCCTGACTTTGGCTCATGATCTCACAGTTCATGGGTTTGAGCCCCGCATCAGGCTCTGCGGTGACAGTGGGGGGCCTCCCTCCCTCCCTCTCTCTCTCTCTCTCAAAAAATAAATAAACAAAAATTTAAAAATAAAATAAAGAGCACTTACTGTGAGCCAGAAACTGTTTAAAAAGCATCCCACATGTTAACCGTTCTACTGTCACATCAACCCTATATAAGGCAGGTGCCGTACCCCTATTTTACAGCTGTGGTCACTGAGGTAGTTTCCAGATTAAGTAACGAGCTCAAGGTCACACTGCTAGTGAAAGGGAAGGCCAAATGTGAACCCAAGCAATCTGGCTCCATACGACCAAAGAGAAAAATATTAATAAGAGACTGACTTTATATCCCTGATGTAAATCCCCAAATGTAATCATGGACCCCTTAACCTCATAAGTGCATTTACACTTTCTTATCCACATTACACTTTCTTATCCACATCAGCTGGAAAACAGACACGGGCCATCTTTCCCCCAAACTGGTTTAGAATCATGCAAAATCTTCAGTCAGTTTCTTTTCCTTGTTTTTTTGTTTTTTTTTTTTAATTGTTTATTCATTTTGAGAGTGAGAAAGAGAGAAGGAAAGGCAGAGAAAATCTCAAGCAGCCTAATTCACAGAGCCTGCCTCGGGGCTTGAACCATGACCTGAGCCAAAATCAAGAGTTGGACGCTTAACTGCTTGAGCCACTCAAGAGACAAGAAAATCCTTTGCTTTTAAAAGGCAACGGCTCTGTTTTCTTTTTCTTTTTAATGTTTATTTTTCAGAGAGAGTGTGGGCAGAGAGAGAGGGAGACACAGTATCTGAAGCAGGCTCCAGGCTCTGAGCTGTCAGCACAGAGCCCAACTCGAGGCTCGAACT